GCCCTCCCCCCGCGCCCCCCAGCCCCGCTCACCCCCGTGCCACAGGGGCAGGATGATGGGGTCGAGGCGGCACTTAGCCAGGAGGCGCCCGATGCCTGCAACAGAGGGCAAGGTGGCTGTTTTGGGGGGCCAGGCAGCCCTTGGGGGGCCAAGGAGGCAATCGGGGCAGAGGAGGCAAGTGTGGATGGCAAGCGGGGGGCAGCAAGGGGCCAGCGGGCGACAACTGGGGTCAAGGAGCAGTTGAGGGTCAGGGACAGCTGGGGGACTGGGAGAGCGGTCAGGGGCAGAGGGGGGACAGTTGGGGGGCTCACCCCACTTGAAGCGCACGAACTCCTGCCCCATGTTCACTTTGCCTGTGGGGACACGGGGCCGTGGCGGGGGGGCAGCACAGGAGACCCCCCAGGGGTCCCCCCGGCCCCCACCTGCGCCACCCACATCAGCAGAAGAAAGCAGGCCGATACCCACGGCTCCCAGTCCTTCCCAGTGCTCCCAGTTCCCCCCGGCCCCCAGTGGGGGTCCCAATAACCTTGATATAAACACCTTCTCCAAGCCCAGTGTTCCCAGTCCCTCTAAAGCCCATGAGGCCCCCCCTTTCCCCAGTTTCCCCAGTACCCTCGGGGAAGACGTGCACCCAGTCCCCCTGGTTGAGCTTCTCCAGGATGAAGTCCATCCCTCGCTGGTACACGCCGTCTCCTGGAAACACGGGTTCAGCATACTGGGACGCCTCCAGTACAGACTGGGACCAGCCCAGCACAACCATTCTCCACACTCCCTAGTGTGGAGAATCTCTTCCAGTATAGGCCGCAACCACCGCAGTACAGACTGGGAGCCCCCAGGCCAGGCTGGACCTGGCCCAGCAGCCCCTGTACAAACTGGGACGCCCCTAGTACAGATGGGGATCCCCCCCTCAACCCTGCACCCCTGCCACCCAGTTGCCCCCAGTCCCTCCCAGTTGGCCCCCACTCACCCCGGCAGACTGGGACGCAGCGGCCCAGGCTGAAGAAGCGTGAGTGCAGCTCCCGGGTGAAGCAGATGTCGGCAGCTGTGGGAGTCCTGGGGCGGGGGTGAGATGGGGGGTGAGCAGGGAGGGGGCTCCCCAGGACCCCCCCCGGACCCCCCCCAGCC